CGGGAAGGGCTGAGGGATCGAGGCAGAACAAAAAGCCCAAAGAGTTCTGCTTTTTCTACCATCCACTTCCTCAGCTCCCTGCATGGGATCCTTGCCAGGGTGCTGGTAACCTTAATGGAGAATGCAAAAGCTGCCCAAGCAGCGTGACAGCTGCTTCTGGGCACGGATGTTTGACTGGAGAGTGGTTTCTTCTCAGCGCGGTGATTTAACTCCATAAACTGAACTATTTCTGGAGCGCTGGCCCGCGCAGGATCGGTGCCTTCTCCTGGTTAACCACTGCACCCACACAGTGCACATTCCTCCTGCCTGAATTCACTTCTTTCATTTGCAGGAGCAGCAGCAGCACCTCAGACAAGAACTCCCTGCGCTGAGATTCACTTGCTGTGCCCCAGTTGGGTCCATCAGCCCTGCACCTCCCGGGGCCAGGAGGTGATGAGGTGTTCGGGAATGCTGTGCCACACACCTGAGGACCCTGCAGGGTGCATCAACAGCCTGACAGTCTGATCTTTGGTGATGCAAACCGTGTTTCCAGCGTCACCTGGGTCAGCCACCCATCCAAGCTCCGGCTGATTTATGTGTGAGATCAGCCAATGGGAATGTAAAGCCGCCTACAAAGGTCTGTTACTCCAGCAGGTTTGGAAAGTCCAGGCTGCTGATTAAAAGGAAGAAGGAAGTACCTCCTGGCAGAGCACGTCCCTGACAGAACTAGAGACATGATGTACCCAACAGGACTCTCGATTTGGAGCTGCTCAGACAACAGAAAGCATCAGTTAAATCCTACCTTAAGCAGCTGCAGAATATCAGTCAATCAATGCCATTTGAAAAAAAAAAAAAAATTCTATTTGTTCTCGTCTTTAGGAAGGCAAGAGTGAGGAGGAAATGGATTTGAAGTAAGCTTAGAGAAGTCCACAATAATACTAATTGAAGATTTTGAAGTGCTTTCCCAACAGCAAGCAGAACACACAGATCTCTGTCAGGGGAAATGAAGCAGGAAAATGCAAAGCAGCTTGTTCAAGCTTATGCAACAGATGAGGAGCACAAACAGAACACAGATCTGCAGGCTCCATCTCTGTGTCCTACCGTCCTTTCGTTTTAAAAAATTTAAATCCTATTTTGCACTCCAACAAGGTTTTCCACATGGATTTAAGTGTTAATTCTGAGCTCCACAGATATATATATATATATTTTTTTTTATGTGGTACCTCACCCATTATCTCCTCCTCTGGACACATACAGTATAAAAGGATTTAGTATTTCAGAAGCAAGAAAATGCTAAATATATATATTTATGATGTTTCCATTTCCTGAATTAACATAATGCACAATGTATTTTATGTATTATCTGTTCAGCTCTAGATACACTTCACTGCACGCAGAAATGAAACAATTACCCAAAATACTGACAAACCATTTTTTTAGCCCCATGAAGTGCACTAACACAGATCGCTCCAGCACTCAGCTCCTACTCCTGTGGCACAAGGATGGCTCCTACGGAAGACACACCAAAAATTAACGGTGGTGCCAGTGGTTTTCTGTGTCAAGCCACAGAGGCAACTCACAAAATGGAAATCTAAGAACTAATCTTAGCACGCTCCTCTCTTTCTGCAAAGCACACATCAAACTTACAGGTACTTTCACATCTGACATAAATTAAAAGCCCTCTTTTAAAACCAGGTTGTGTTTTTAGGTTTCCAAGTCATCCAGAAGACGGCACTGTCAAATGGAGAGTTTCCTTCTGAACACCCACTGCCTGTGGGAATGGCTACTCCCCACACCTCCAACAACACTGACCTCTTTGGGGTTTGTCTCCTTTTATGCCATCCATGCCTGTGGACCTTCTCAAGAAGAAAAGGGGTGCCTGAAGAGGAAAATGGCTTTCTTCACCCTTGCTGCCTGTCCTTTTTCTCTTCAAACTCTCCTTGGCATTCACAGTGAAGGGCAATACGCTCCAAGACACCTATTTGCTCACAGATGTGCATGCAGTGGGCTGTCTCGCGAGATCAGATACTCGGCTTTTACTGCTAAAGAGCCAAAATATGAATATTGTATCTGAGAGCTGAAGCAGCCATGGTGCCCTCATTTCACAGGTACAAGGGACAAACACACCTGACAGAGCGACTCTGTGGAAGGAACATGAGTTGGCAAGAACTCTTAGCCAGCCAGCAGAAAGCTTCTAATAATCTGATCCCTTCCTAAGACCACCCTCCATCTTCACAAAACCAACCACTTAAACAGGACTATGACAGGAAATATTTCCACCAACCCTAAACATGTCTGTGTGCCCGATATTATATCTCTTTTTCTTCTGTAAGACATGAACTGGGATGGATGAACTGACACGACACAACATACTCTTGCCAAGATCCTGCAGGGCAGATGGAATCTTGGAGCCCACCTTTTGAGCACAGACTACTATCATGACTACAACAAAAGCTATTTCAGATCATTATTTTAAGTATACAACTGAAAAACCTAAGGTTTATGCCTTGCAGTGGAAGCGTCTCATTAAAACGCACAGTTTAAATGGAAATATCTCTGTTTGGCAGGTGGGGCCTGTAAGAATAAAAGGTTCCCTTTTCCAAAACAAATACAAGAGATTTAATCTAATTTAATACATTAATCTGCTACAAATCTTGGGCTAGCTGCAAAGCTTTATTTACTGTCCTGAGGTAGGAAAAAGAATCAAGAATCCCAGAACACAAAGCCTGATTATTTTAAGGAAATGCCCATGGAAGAACTAATCCCAGGATTTACTGCTTCCCTGAGAGTGAAACAACCTAAAGGACGATTATCACAGAATGGTCTGGCTTGGAAGGGACCTTCAAGACCATCCAGTTCCAACCTCCTGCCATGGGCAGGGACACTTTCCACTAGACCAAGTTGCTCCAAGCCCCATCCAACCTGGCCTTGACACTTCCAGGGATGGGGAGTCCACAACCTCTCTGGGCAACCATATCTGACGTTCAGCTTGGAAAACACCACACAAGGAAAACAGCAGCAATTCACAAAGATGCAAACTTAAAGATGAAGGGATGTCATCTCTCCCTGAATCCCTCTCTAGCCTGTTTTTTTTTTTTTTACCTGGAATGCCAGCTGGGCAAAGAGTTTTGGCCAAAAAACCATCCACCTTCTCTGTGCGCATGTGACATTCCAGATGAACAACAAAACAGACTGCCTTGGAGACCTAATATACAGAACTCCTCACAGACACTTGGCTGAATTCCTTTCTTACCTGCTCCCAGTAAGCAATGCCCAATTTAAACAGCCTTTTCCAGGTGTCAAAAAGCCCTACAGGTTATATAATGCCTGACCACCCTCCAGAAACTGACAGATCAGGTATCACAACTTAGCCATCCTCACATGCCTGAGAATTCATTAGATCACAATCTACCCCAAGGACTGCACCATCCCCACCCCCATGTGAAGATGGATAAGGATATGAAGGATGTCTCTGGTAATTTCATCGGTATTTTTAATATGAATTTTGAGACAGACCTTTGTTTGAGTGGAAAGCTGCACCCCACCATGCCACAGTTTTTATTCTTTACCTGGCTTGGCATTTCTCCAAGTGATTTAGGATCTCTAACAGAAAAATCCCTGCAAATTACCAGGAGATAGAACTGGACAAGAGCAGTTCACCAGAACAAACGTTGGTGACTTCACTATCCCTTCTACCACTGACCACATGTATTGCAGGGAAAAAGTTGACCTGGTTAAAGACTTTTCCATTTCTATCTGTGAGCTCTCAAGGAATGCGCTAAGGAAACGGTCGCCCTACTGAATCATTTCAAGAATTTTACAGCCAAGATGATTTATTACCATAAAACAGGTCTTGGAAAAAAGGACATTTGAGGAGACTCAATAGCTATTAAATCACTGTGGAAAACATGATGCTGAAGGAATTGCAGATGCCTGACACATGTTCTACTACTTTTTTTTCCTTTTTGTTAACACTGAGTATCTATTAAAACCAAGTCTGCAGGATTACTTGAAACTTTTCAGACAAAGAGTCAGAGGTATAAATTAAAACGGTGTTCATACATAAGTGCTAAAGAAATAACTAAAGCACCCCACAAAGGCTGTTTGAAAAACCAGAGTCACCAATAATTTCAAAACCTATGCGTTAAAAATATACTTATCGCTTAGTAAACAAGCTGAGACACATTTTGCAGAGTTATAGATGTTTTAGAGTTGAGTCAACAATACACAGAAAACCTTATACCGTCTTTTAATGAGTCCACTTGTTAGCTGGTGTGAAACCAGATTCAGATTCATCTTGGGTTTTGTTATTACAACTGTAATGTAGATATTGTTGTCGCACAGAACATGCCCTGTTCAAGGCAGTTAAAAGCATCTCTCTTTAAAATTTGCCATTGTCTACTACAAATGAATCAGAGAGATGATCTGTGAGGCTTGCTATGCAAAACACCACGGAAAAACACGCTGCTTTCTTGACCAAAATGGAAAAAATTCTTGTGCTAAACCAGAGAACTACAGAATGGTCTGGGTTGGAATGGACCTTAAAGACCATCTATAGTTCCATGGGCAGGGACACCTTCCACTAGACCAGGTTCCTCAGAACCCTGTCAAACCATAAACACTTAAAATACCCAAGTAAATGTTTTTAATATATTCCAATATACAGCAGCCTGAAAGGAAGGTTCAAGGTTTTCTTACACCAACTGATACGAAGTTTTGGAGCCCAAAATCCCTTTCCAGCCCTTCTTGCCTTCAAACCTCTCCTCTCCACGTCCTCAGACCACAACAGCTACAACAGCAGTAATCATGCAGGAACACAACCCAACCCTGAACTCCTTCATGCCTTGACACAAGTGATGACAAAAGGAGAAAAAATGATCCACCTCATGCAACCTCACCCCGAGCCACAAGGCTCCAAAACAGGGAAAACTAATTGCCTTTTTAATTAAATGGATGTCTTACAGAACAACTGACCTACAGTCTTACAGAAGAGGAAGATGAGCATCTTTCTTTTGACTTACGTTTTGGATTGTCCCGGTTCACTCGAACAACTCAGCCACCGTTCCTGTTTTCTGCAACACAAGAAAGAAGACAAATTCTGTTAAAATAAAACAAAAAAAGTATTTGCTTGAACTGAAGTTTCTCATTACGATGTTAATTAATGCTTGAAGCTTACTGTTTGCTTTCAGTCAACACTGGAAAATATTTCCATCCTTCCTTTTCTGTTTCTCTGATTTTGACTGCCAGAGTATTTCTGCTACACGACACTGCTCTATCAAGATGAACCATGGAGACTGCCTGGTGCTTAGAGCATAACACTGAAGAACCAAATAAATTCCAAAACCTACTGCAGAGTTGACCGAAGAAATTTCTTGTAGCCATAGAGAAAAGGAATAAACATAAAAAAAGAAAATATCTATTTGCTCATAGGTATCTTTGTAGTCTTGTTAGAGATCTGTGACTGTTCCTTGTTGGCCTTCAGCACCTAATTCAGAAAGATAATGACCTGCCCTTGGTTTGGGGTCATATCTACTTGCCCAAAGTTTCAGGCACCCTAAAACACTTCATTGGGAGCTGAATTTTAAAGGGGTTGGTCATTATGCCATGCTTTGTACTTTGGATTAGCTGGAAAAACAGCAGAAACAGAGAAGGTATATCCACACCTTACTGGGAATTGAAACAAAAAAAGAAAAAAAAAACCAGGCAAGCAACCAAAAAACCACACACAAAAATCTCCTAAGCAGAGTTATGAGGGTATTGTCCTGAAAAAGAATGCTCTGATGCTACATTCTTTATTTAACCACATAATTAGTAAACTTCCAGCAGAAGCAGCAAAAAAATTCCTCATTGCCATACTAGGCCAAGCAGCGACCTGGAAGAAGTACTCGAACCTCCACGAAGAGCTGGTATGCTCCAGATAATGGAAAAACTAAGTAACTGGGGTCGTACTGGAAAATGAAGCACAGAGACATCACATCACTCAAGGTTAGTGCTGTTCTTGTTCTACTGAAAATGGTAATTTTCAGGAAAAAAGAAGAGAATATTTTTAAAAAAAAAGAGAGAGAGAGAGGGATGGAAAGAGGAGGACACCAGTCAGAAGGAATTCTGGCTCTGCTTTGCAGCCAGGAAGGGATAACAAAGCAACAAGTAAATGCCAACACGGATTTGTCAAACTACTTCACTCCCCTTTCCAAGAAGTTAGAAAGCCCCAGGACATGGACACGGTACAGTAATCAGTCACCTAAGCACGGTAGGTTTCATGCCACGTCACGCTGCTTTCCCCCAAATCAATAAAGGATCACAGAACTGGGCGGAAAAAACAAATCCAAAGAATAAAATTTAATTGTTCACAAAGCGATCACAAAGATCTTGGCACGTGGCATCCAACCTTCAGCATCAGCAGAACCCCGATGCCTTCAGAAGGAAGCCAATTATCTCATTAATTCATCAGACAACTACGCATGAGAAGTGTTTTCTTAATCCCAAGTCCTAAAAATCTCAATATGAAATAAATACATGTATCATTAGGGGGTATGAAATCATCAAACTCCTTTATAAGGGGCACCATTAAATTTCAAGCTATTTAATTTAGCCCAACAATAGAGTTTTACAAAGTGTGTTTTTCACTAATGACCTGGCCACTATTTTTGTTATTTTTTTTTTTGCCTGTAAAACGCACAGTCAATATTTGTGGGTTTTCTTTCTCAAAATGTTGTTGCGCAGGATAAAAACAATCCAGAAAAAAAATCAGGCTCAGAGTACAATCAAATATACAAAGGAAAACCACACAAGTACAGATTTCACCATACTCCTCCAGATTTTAAATAGATCAACATATTTTGGAGATGGGTGTGATTTTATGCGAGCTGTGCCCCTTTAAAATTGGCAACTACATTTAATTCAGTGCCTTCTTATTCCAAACTCTAGTTGAAAATAGATCTCACAATGGAGTCCTACAGCTGAATATACTCCAGGAGAAAATTAATACTCTAATTTATTCCAAATTCATTTGCATGACAGTATATCATTAGTATATACAAAAAAAAAATATGTATTATACCAACAGAGGAAAAACTCTGTGCAAACAGTGAAAGAAACTCACATCCCACCAGCGAGATGAGCTTGAAACTTAAAGCACAAAGCTGTTTTATTTTTCTGAAAAACAAACACACACAAAAAAAAATACCAAAAAGAGCTGTTCAAGGTCCAGGTTTTGATTTTTTAAAATACCGTGTGATCTTAACAAACAACAAAGCAAATATGATTCTTTGCACACCAGGTATCTCCTAAATAGCTGAAAAGAGCCACGTAGACAACCCCAGGACAGACTAAAAATAAATGATGGAATAACTCGAGTACAGAGTGAGGTTTTCCTACCTTACTGATTAGTAACAAGTAGAAGAGGAAAGGAAACACACACTCACTTTATAACTCCATCAACCTTGTTGTCCTGGAAACAATTCTCCTACAAAAGAAGTACTTAACTACTAAAGCATCTTCTGCTACTACTTTTTGGTTTTGTTTTGTTTTTTTTTTCTTCCACCCCCTTCCCTCCCTGCAGCGCTCTCAAATGTTTGATAAACAGCCAGTACCAAGCCTATCTCGTAAAACGGCACAGAAATTGGATCTCTCGCTCCCAGAAGAAAATATATAATTCCATTTTGAGCATGCAGCACTTAGGGAACATCAGGTTTGCACAAAGCCCAAGGAACAGACTGTAATTTTGTTGTTGCTGTTGTTGTTAAAATGAGTTATTAACTGAACCTTTAATTTTAGAATATGTAATGCTGGTAAAAAGGTACCCTCACAGCGTGTTCTTCCTGGGAGCAGAGTGAGAAATCTCAGACTGCAGAGCAGGCTCAGCCCTCCCTCGTAGGTGCTAAACAGCCCCAGCATGTACAGGCTGGAGCTCTGTACATAAAAATATTTGCTGCAGGGCTTCCTCTCTCGACCTGACCTACCATGAGCTTTGTCCTTCCACTGACCTCATCCAGAAAACTTAATTTAAGGACCAAGCTCCACCCTCAGCATATACTCCCAAATACTCCATCGGCTAAATGTTTACTGCTTCCCCAAACGTTTTCTGCTCAGGTTGAGTTTCCTGCTCGCCTGATTGCACTTGGAGATCAACAGGTTAATGCCATCCCTGCCTGCAGGAAAGTTTATCCTCGTGTAGCAGGACACAGACACTGAATGTGCCACGAAAACCAACACACGTGGTGTGACTGGATTCCCTTTTTCAGGTCCAGGAAGGACTCCATACAGACTGATTCCTAGGAGAGCAAACAGGATAGATACTCCTGCTGAAGGATGAACAAGGCAAGATGGCAACAGGACAAGAGGAAATGGCCTCAAGTAGTGCCAAGGGAGGTTCATACTGGATATCAGGAAAAACTTCTTCATGGAAGGAGTGGTAAAGCATTGGAAGAGGCTGGCCAGGGAAGTGGTAGAGTCACCACTCCTGGAAGTGTCCAAAAAACATATGGATATGGTACTTGAGGACATTGCTTGGTGGTGAACATGGTGGTGCTGTCAAGTTGACGGTTGGACTTAGTGATCTTAGAAATCTTTTCCAACTCAAATCATTCTATGGTTCCATAAAACCCAGTAAACCTACTGGGTGAACTCAGCATTATTCACATAACCTGGGGTGAGAGTCCTCTCTTGTCATTGAATACCTCTGTGGGAGTATTTTGTTTCACAGACCACCAAAAAAAAAAAAATTTAAAAAAAAATCCCTTATTTCTGGTTTTATGGTTACTGTCTGTGTTTGGAAGGGAACAGAACTTCCAAACCCAGTTCTTGGTAATGTGCACCACATTGCTGACCACAAAGAAATAATAAAAAGAAAAAAACCTCCTCTTAAGAGCAGCACTTTTATTGTCTCTCAGTCCCTCAGAAAAGCCTGTGATCAGAAGTCTTAGCAACTCCTGACTTTAAAGAAAAGAGCTCTGAGCAGGTTTCAGACCACAACTTTACACTCAACATCTATCCATACACTGCTCCTTTTGCTGCACAGACAGTTTGGGTCAGATCCAGTGACTTGGCCTTACCTAAACTGTCCAATCCACCGCAATGAATATACTTATAGAAACACTTTTAAATTCTTGCTTTTTAATCTATTGATGTCTGAAGAAATTTTGCCTCTGACCCTCTCAGTCAGCCTGCCCAAACATCCTGCTTTCCAGTAAAACGCCAGAGTCTGCACTGGTCTCAGATGGGAAAAATCACAATACACTGCTTTCAAATAAGACCTATTAATTACCAAAATTATTCCCACAGCGAGTCCAAAGGGATTTTGGATCCTTTAGACAATTACACCCAGCAGTTTATTGGGTGTGGTATCTCTTACTTATTACCATCACTTTGCTAAGGAGGAGACCTGCGTTTTCCCTTGACTCCCTCCAACTTCCAATGTATTTACAAGGTCTTTCCTGTCCCCTATTAATGCTGATTATCCATGTCTCTTTACCTTAGATTTTTACATAATCCCTATCTAATAGTTTCTCAGAGAAGATGTGGATGCCCCATCTCTGGAAGCGTCCAAGGCAAGGTTGGAAAGGGCTTGGAGCAACCTGGTCCAGTGGAAGTTGTCCTTGCCCATGAATAAAAACAGAATAAGGTAATTTTTAAGGTCTCTTCCAACCCAAACCATCCTATGATTCTAATATGCTTTTACATTAATTTTGAATTGTGTCCTTGTTTCTACTTTTCAAATGACTTAAATTTAATATATCAATGTGATGCACAGCTTTTTTTTTCCCTTTTCTCTTGTGCTTTTACTCTAGACATTGTTAACCCTCAGGTCTCTATGTAGCCTCTGTGCTCCTTTATATATCTTTTGGAGAAATCACTGAGTAATAAAATAGTTTGGGTTGGAAGGGACCTTAAAGATCATCCAGTTCCAACACCCTGCCATGGGCAGGGGACACCTTCCACTAGACCAGAACCTTCCACTAGACCAGGACATCTGCTTAGTTGGTAAAATTAGCTGAAACCTTCATTAATTAGGATCTGGGGTAGCAACCAATAAGCTACTATCACTAACAGATCTGAAATCTCAACCTCACAG